AAACTGCTAAATGTTGCATTTTAAATGCAGCAAAAACGCTGCATTATCCTGAGTTTCGCCTGAAAAAAATTCACCCGAAAATTTGTCATCCGCCCAAGGCGAATTTATACAATTCGCCTTGCATCCGCCCATAGTAAACCATGGAAACCAAAAGTGAAAAGTGAACCGGTTCGGGGAAATGAAACTCATGATAAGGCTGACTGTGTTTTGCGCATTTGTGTCCAGAAAAAAGTCTGGGCTGTTTCGTGCACAAAGAAGAAGACATTTATGATCCAAAAGTGGAACGTATTCGCTCTCTTTACCCATTTTTCTTGCGTGAGGAACGGTTTCTGGGCTGTTTTGGCACCCGCGGGTACTGGCAAGCTCGTGTGGAACAAACATATCCTGCTTTTAGCTGAAATTAGTCGAGAACGCAGAACGTATACTTAAACGCAGTCTGTATACGCATAATTTTGTCGATTACTAGAGCCCTCAGTGTTGCTTACTACACTGTTGCCACTCATCAAGGCCTTTTCATATACTTACCCTTTCAACTACAATTTTTCGTGCTATAATAGTTTGTAGCTAAATATAAACTACTTAGTTTTCGACAAAAACCTTATTCAATAGTAAATTTCAAATAGTTTAAACATATTTTGAATAGGAAATTATAACTTTTTTACCATCTGTAAAACTGACGAAGTGGCAACCATCTAAAGAAGGAGAAATCAGCTGACACTGAAAAATCTAAATTCCGCAGATTTCTGCGCTACGGGCTACAACTACAGAAAAATTCTGCGATGTTGAGTTTTCATTTACATGGCGCTTTGGTAAGACAGATCGTGTCAGATGACTCGGGTTACATACCGGTAGGTTTACGTTCTTGACTAATTTCAGCTTTATCCTGAATTTCGAACGAAAAAAAGTTCACCCGAAAATTTGTCATCCGCCCATAGTAAAACCATGGAAACCAAAAGTGAAAAGTGAACCGGTTCGGGGAAAATGAAACTCATGATAAGGCTGATTGTGTGCAAAAATTATCGTTTTTTCGAAAAGAATCGGTAAAAATGTTCTAAAAGTATGTTCAAATAATCATGTGTTCAAATATAAAAATAATCAGCCCTATGAGTTTAATTTTTCCCGAACCAGTTCACTTTTCACGTTTGGTTTCCATGTATCTTCGGCGCGTTTACATTAGACAATGCTGTCAAGACAATAAAGAAATACATATTAGTTGCCAAAGCGCTAATAATTGTCTCCGTGGCGTAGGCGTCCTAACAATAGCTATGACAATCCATTTTGAGTAAAATGTCAGGCGTGAACGCTGTATTATAATACGCATTTCGCGCGAGTTATTTAAGCTAAAATTAAAAAATAATAGAGAAGAGACAAATACTAAAGCTGAAATTAGTCGTGAACGCAGAGCGTATACTTAAACGCAGTCTGTATACGCAGAATTTTGTCGATTACTGGAGCCCTCAGTGTTGCTTACTACACTGTTGCCACTCATCAATATCTTTTCATAAACTTACCCTTTCACCTACAATTTTTCGTGCTATAATAGATTTTAGCTAAATATACACTACTTAGTTTTCAACAAAAACCTTATTCAATAGTAAATTTCAAATATTTGAAACTATTTTGAATAGGAACTTATATCTTTTTTACCATCTGTAAAACTGACGAAGTGGCAACCATCTAAAGAAGGAGAAATCAGCTGACACGGAAAAAATCTAAATTCCGCAGATTTCTGCGCTACGGGCTACAACTACAGAAAAATTCTGCGGTGTTGAGTTTTCATTTGCATGGCGCTTTGGTAGACAGATCGTGTCAGCTGACTCGGGTTTACGTACCGGTAGGTTTACGTTCTTGACTAATTTCAGCTTAAGTTTATATTGAAAACTATTTGCAAATACCTAACTTACTACCTGCTAGCCACGGCTCACCACTTTCCCTTAAAATTCAAACGATTTACAAACACATTCACAACTTTTTAGTCATCTCACCCACACACTTACAAATTTTTTGTTCGAACTGTCAAAAAAATGTCCCTTTGTTAGAGCTACATATCCTATAAGAATTCGTACTCTAATAAGAAATCTATGCGTGACCAAGTTAGAAAAATCGGAGTTTTCATGACAGTATACATACTGTGAAGAAATGTCACTTTGCGGAAATTTTGAAGGTAAGGATACGTATTTAACAATTTTATTTAATTATAATGTAATTTCTTCTTTTAGATTGCAAAACAGCAGCGACTTAGTCACATTCTTAAGGTATGTATTGAGACTTTTTATATGTTTATAAATTTTAATTGCTATTTTTGTTTGTTTACAGACTTGGGATTCACCATCAGTACCTTCAACGCTTGCATCTTCATCGCCAGGAGCACCATTAGAACCTTCTGCCCTCAGCTTCTTCATCGCCAGGAGCACCACCAGTACCTTCTACCCTCAGCTCCTTCATCGCCAGGAGCACCATGGGTACCTTCCGCCCTCAGCACTTTCAACGCCAGGAGCACCTTCAAAGTGTAGGTCCAACTTGTCAAATTTTGCAAAGTTGTAAGAAAACTTAATTTTTCTGAACCACCATAAATAATTTGCAACTCTTAATATATATCAAAAGAAAGGTAAACCGATTACCTTTCTTTTGATTTTAACACCGTTAAAATCGCTTTACGTTTTCATAAAAACTTTGCAACTTTTGTAAACTGCTATATAAGCAGTGAAAAAGTGGTAAAATTTTGCAAAGTTGTAAGGAAACTGAATTTTTGTGCACCATTACAAATGACTTGCAACTGTTAATATATATTAAAAGAAAGGTAAATCGATTTCCTTTCTTTCGATTATAATATTGTTAAAATCGGTTAACTATTTTATAGAAATTTTGCAACTTTAGAAAACATTATGGCTGCGTTTCTTTATACATTCCGGATAATCCCATTTCACTGCCGGAATAAACAGAATGCGTTTGAAATATACGTCAACATATCATCAGGAGCGTTCTAAAGAATAAGTAAACAAAAAAGTTTATTCCAAACGTTCAGAATGAATAAAGAAATGAAGCGTATATGTAAGAAGTGACAAAGTTGTCACATTTTGCAAAGTTCTAACAAAACTAAATTTTTGTGAACCAGTACAAATGATTTGCAACTGTCAATATATATTAAAAGAAAGGTAAATCGATTACCTTTCTTTTGATTATAATACTGTTAAAATCGCTTAACTTTTTTATAGAAAATTTGCAACTTTTGAAAACAGTTATATGCAAAGGAGTAGTAGTAATAATAAGCAATTAAGCAGCCACATATGTATGTAAAAATATCTTTATTATTAATGTTAATTGTAATTTTCATTCATAATATTGATTACTAACTATGTATATTAGGTTAACGATGCATTTTGAAAAATAAATTTTGCAAAAAAAAAATTAAAAAAAAAATAAGATTTTTTATTTAAAGTTTTGAAGGTTATTTTGAATTCGCTGTGAAGAGAATGCAACCCTGCGCCAGCTGATGTGGGCAATGCTAGACGAGTGCAGCTATATGTTTTTCTTACGAAGTATATGAATGAGTGCGACAGTGATGCAAGGCACACACGTACAGGGGGAAACTGATGAAAATCTGCACACCGCCCATACAAAATTCACCAGTTTTGAAGTGAATGAAACCCGCGGTTTCACCAGATTGTTCACCACTTTTGGGTAGCAGGGCTGTTTATTCGATGGTAGAAAATTCTTTTTTAATATGTCCTGATTATAAAACGGCAATAAGATGACCATCGAAATAGAAAATAATCCTAAGAATGGCGGCGTCTTGCGCTTATTGCAAATAGTAACACTAATCAATACTTATTTGCAAATAAAAAATTAAGTCCGCGTTTATACGATTCGATTTTTGGATATTTTTTCGTATTTTCTTTTCTGTTATAGATTCCATTTTTGCACATAATTTATTAAAAAACAAAGAAAATTATTGTAAGATGCACGCAACAATTTAAATTCATTAAATTTGAAAACTCACAACTGCCTTCACCGCGATTTGAACCAGTGATCGGACTCAAAAAATTCTTTGTGGTAGAATCTGGAAAAAAATGTGGTAGATTTGAAAAAAATCTGCTAGATCCCTAGGTTTGGATCAAACTTTGTACAAAAATTAAAAAAATTCGGCAAGGTTTCACCTAAATTGCAAACTTTTTAATTAGACTCTAAAAAAAATTCCAATTTAGTATAATAAAGTGCAAGATTGAAGTTGCTAAAAATTGCGTTGAATTTTGGCAATTTTTTTCCTTGACAGTGTAAAGCAGTTCCTTCCATATCAAGGTATTATTCGAAAATATTCTAAGAAATTTCTGCAACCTTGCGGAGTGCTTCCAGCTTTTCTTTTTATCACATTACGAAGTAGCGAACAAATGTGGGACGTTCCAGAAACAGCTAATTGGGGTTTGCCGATTTTGACAATTCTCAAGTAAAAGTAAACAACGCCTCAGAAACTTTAGATGCACTTATTTTTTCTAATACTTTCACAAAAAACGCTGTTTTTTAACATTTTCGCTATTAGTTCTTTTTATAAATCATATATTTTGCAATTTAACACGATAAAACCACGATTTCTGTCGAAATATTTATTACTGGCAAAATTTACTATTTGTTTGCTTTGTTTACTTTTACTTGAGAGATTTTATCCTCGCCGGGAATGCGGAATCTTGTATTATATCATTTTTGTTACCCTATAGTGTTTAGTATTAGACAATTTTTGCTCTTAAAATTAAGAAAATTATGTCAAGCAAAAATAAAACTACGCAAAAACGCGAACATGTGGTAGATTTCAGACCTTGAGTGGTAGATGCTCACAAAAGTGGCAGATCTACCACAATGTGGTAGAAGTTCGATCGCTGATTTGAACTCGCGACCAACGATGCTTGAGTCGGAAGTCTTCTCGCTGAGCTACTTTCATATTGTACGAGTAGTGAGCATTTGCACATTTACAACGCAAGTTTCAACTGTCCCGCTCTGCATCCGTTTTGTTCAGAGATAGTTTTAATATATGTAGTTCGGAACTAGCGCTTTGTCAGACTGTCTCTAAATTTTACTGCACGGATGTTATTTTAGTTATGTTGCTATGAATTTCGCTTCTTTCTTGCGCAAGACGTCAAAATTATTGTCTGCATAGGTGAAATCATTGTCTGATTTACTGTCTGTCAAGACAGTAGTTGAGACAATTGGAAAGTATGCATGAATTAGTGAAAAAGTGTGCATGAATTGCTATAGTCATTACAGTATTGACCGGTGTAAACCCTGACTTACTATGGGCGGAATACAAATTTTCGGGTGAATTTTTAAGATATCTCACAAAGTTGTGTTTCATGAGGATTTTTCTTGATCTAAAGCTGACGCTCGATAGCAGGTTTTTCAGGAGTTGCGGCTTTTGAAGTCGTACAGGCTTTCGATGTCGTTCAGGCTTTTCAGGCGAGTAATTCCACAACAAACTTTTTGCGATTGACGATTCTTCGAACCTTTGACAATTCGCAGTAAATGGGAGAATCGTGTAGGAATAAGTTTTCCAACAAATGAGATATCCACCAAAAAATTCTAGTTCGATAAAAGTGATACTTCTTTTACCATTTCATTTTAGTTTATTCAGCACTTTTGTTCAACTCTTTCATATAAGGGGTCTTCATTTAAAGTGATAAAGGGATAAATTGCTTAAATTTATCAGTTTATCCTCATTCTTTCATGAACGCACCTTGGTAAATATTTACATACATAATTGTTTATTATTTAACTTATATGGCTAGTTACGTTTTTATTCTTACCTCAACCATTATGTTCGTTTGCTTTTTATGTATTCGTAGCAAAAGCTACCATCTGGTAACCTGGTTGAATTTTGCTGAAATTTATGCATTTATCCACCAAAATAGTTTGATAAAGTGATAAATTTTGGTTAAATAGATTTCCATACAAAGTTTGACAGTTCATTTATCAAAATGATAAATTCATAATTTTATCAAGTTTATCAACATTTTATCACTTTTGATGAAGACCCCTATTTATTTTCATATAATTAAACAGCCTTTTATACCATATCCCCACTGGAGCTAACCACGTAGTTATGGCTGTTGAGTTGGTTATCCCGATAACCCACT